GAAACATATTGATGTACTTATGCTATGTAGAAAGTTTGAGCTGATTCCGACTTCGATTTTTCAAGTTATGGTCATTTTTAAAATTGGCCAATTTCTGAAAAATACCCTGTACTATAATAGCCCATGGTTTTTTCCAAAAAATGGCTCAAAAATCACCCCCATTTTTTATTACATTTTCTGAAACATATTGATGTACTTATGCTATGTAGAAAGTTTGAGCTGATTCCGACTTCGATTTTTCAAGTTATGGCCATTTTTAAAATTGGCCAATTTCTGAAAAATACCCTGTACTATAATAGCCCATGGTTTTTTCCAAAAAATGGCTCAAAAATCACCCCCATTTTTTATTACATTTTCTGAAACATATTGATGTACTTATGCTATGTAGAAAGTTTGAGCTGATTCCGACTTTGATTTTTCAAGTTATGGCCATTTTTTAAAATTGGCCAATTTCTGAAAAATACCCTGTACTATAGCCCATGGTTTTTCCAAAAAATGGCTCAAAAATCACCCCCATTTTTTATTACATTTTTTGATACATATTGACGTACTTATGCTATGTAGAAAGTTTGAGCTGATTCTGACTTCGATTTTTCAAGTTATGGCCATTTTTAAAAATCTGCCAATTTCTAAAAAAACCCTGTACTATAGCCCATAAAAATGGCTCATAAAAATCACATCTAATTTTCATGTGTTTTTTTGATAGATTTTACTACATGTATAACTTACATCATTATTGTTTGTTATTAGGATTGGAGCTATTTTCTTCATTGTTGTGAATCAGATATTTGGTAACTTGTCAGCCATTGACCTCTTTATAAGGCAGAAGCACATATTCATGTAAGAGGAAAAATATATTCAGTACATGTCATTTTAATAATAACTGGTTTATGTTAACTGTCATTTAGACACCATGTTGTGTAGCTTTTACATGTACATGTACATGCATTCTTCTTTTCCTTTGCACAATTATTAAACAATCTATATCTACATGTACATGTACATGTATTTGTGTCAACTAATACATGTATTAATTATGTCAAGATTCTAAATGTGCACAATGTACTATAGCTTTATCCAGGCTTTAAGAACAGACCCCTCTACCAGCTCCCTCTACCAAACAGTTATTAGATGATGAAGGTGTTCATGATGATGATGGTGAGGAGATGACCGAGTCAGAGTTGCTAGAGTATCAGTTGTTCCTCAAGAAGTTACAGAGCAGTAGTTCAGGTCGAGTGGTGACTGTTGCTACTGCTCCATCTGACAGATGTAGCTCATACCTCAAACACAATCACTCAAAAGTGGGTGTGGAGAGTGTCATTGCTATGACGACATCAACAAGTAGTCTTAACGAGGAATTGAGACCGTCTTTGTCCAGTGGTAGTTTGACTGGTGCGAGCGAGAAGGAGCCAATCAGAATGGTCTGAGTTTGACCTGTCAATTACCCAGGAAAGGGCAGAGGAGCTGTTATCGTAAAGAGTGGAGATGATGGTGATGATGATAGTGAGAAGAAAAGGGGGAATGAGAAAGAAGGGAGTGATGATGTATAGCAGAACGTTCGAATGACGTTAGTAAAACTGGTGATCTGATTATTGAAGAAACTGATGAATGGATACCACCAACTGATGAGCAAGGACCACTCCCTTCCTCTGCCCCCATCACCTCTCATTATAAGGAAGATATTGGAATTGAAGAATGCAATAATGAAGAAGATTTATCAATTACTGATAGTGGGGTCAATGGATACCAGTCCAAACCTCAGTCTTCATTGAGAAGGAATGAGTCTCGGTCTTCAAGGAGGAACAGGTTTCAGTCTACAGAAAAGAATAATGAAAGGTCTCGGTTTAAGAGGAATGGATCTGGGCCTAACAGGAATGAGTCTCAGCCTGAAAGGAGTGAGGAGTATCAGACTACTGCTAATCTTTCTTCAGTTTCAAATGAATTGACGTTAGTCGGCGTCGGCATATCAGAAGAGAAGGAGGAGGAGGAGGGAGAGGATTTTCCTCAAGCAATGGAGAGGGATAGCAGTAAGAATATCAATAATGAAGTACATGTACTGCATGAAATGGAAAGAGGAGAGGAGGAGCAGGAAGAGGAGGATAGAGTTGAAGGTGCTCCTGAGATACCATTACTGAGAGTCAAATCAACTACAAGTCTTTATGTACCAGGTAAGAGAGGGAGAGAGAGGGAGCGAATACAGTATATTACATGCACAGTACCAATACATGCATACATGTATGTACTTGTCAATTTTTAACTCAGACACACATACACTGTACATGTACATGTTTACTGTATCTGTAGTACATTATTGCATGTAATGTACATGTACATGTTTATATATTGTATAATGAATTGTGTTATTATGTTCATTAGATTATGAGTATCTTACTCTAGTAAGAGGAAGAGAGCCACTCCTTCATATGCTGCTCATTGCATTAACAGTTCAACTGCTCTTGGACCACCTTGTCCTCTGTATGGGGTCACACAACCAACTGAAGCTGAAAGTAAGATTTACATGTACATGTACATGTATTGATAGTTAGTACATGTACATGTACAACTTTCTTCACGATACAAGCCCTAGAGACTCACAAATTATGCATGTACAGTTCATGTAGTATGCATTTAAACATAGCTATTCATATTTATTTTACAGAATAAAAATAAAACGTCATCACTTACATGTACATGTACATGTGATATTCCATTTGTCTTTTAGTTGCTAAGATGTCACTGAAGCAGTTAAGGTCTCCAGTGAAGAGGAATAGCATTGACAAAGAAAACTCGTCTTTTTGGAAAACGAGAAAGACTAGAGATGAGAGAGCTGGCCCAAGGAAGAGAGAAAAGAGACATATCCACTTCACTTTCATCATCTTCATCTCTCTCCTCACTCTCTCCCTCCCTTTGGTATTATAACAGGGAGATTGAAACTGACCTATCACTACATAAAGGAGCAAGGTACATGTACATGTACAGTACATGTAATTTTATTTCTTATTGTTTGTTTTATATTCATTAGTGATGGTAATCACAGGATGTTGTAGCAGTTGTTAAGTAAAGGTTATAATGTTAATGGCATTGATCAGGAAGGAGCCACTGCACTGATGCACTGGTGAGAATACATGTACATGTATTTTTAAAATTTAATGAATATTCTACGTACAATATACAGTACATGTGATGCCAATTATTACCAATGGCACATATTCTGTTCATTGTTTTATCTTTTACCGTATAGCTAGAAAATTTGGTTAGTTAAAATTTGGCCAATTGACTTCAATAGAGGCTTGGAGGTTAAAATTTTGGCGAAATTTTATTTCTGTGCATGCTTCTATGGAACCTTATCAAATTGGAGGCTAAAAATTTGGCAAATGGACCTCAATTTGCCAAATTCGTCTAAGTTTTACTCCACCAAGTTTTTTTAGCTATATTGTATTTCTAATGTTTTACAAATGCATGTACTTATACATGTACATGTATGTATTGTTAATGTACAATGTTCATGTTCTACATTTTAGAGTGTATTACCGTCTGGAGGTGTTCAGTTGGCTTGTGCTGATCTCCTTATAAGGAAAGGAGCTAATATTGACCAGCAGGTATACTGATACACGCTGTCACCTCAAGTGCATGTACAGCACCAGACAGGTGCAAGTTGACAAACAAACTAGTACAAAGTGAGTGCATCTCTGTTAGTGCATGTATAGTTTTATGCCTTGTAACGTTTATAATAAGTATCAATGAACTCAACACAATACAATGTAATAAATGAGCAGGAAGAGAGAAAGAGAACATCGGGAGAGTAGAACAAGTGAACAAGAGTCCAGACAGAACACACATACTTATAAACATGCATACAGGAAATAATAAGAAACCACACAGGATATTAACATCACATAACTATCAAAACATTAACTAATAATAACAATAACTGTACACAATATTATCTCACATGCCTGTAACGTGTAAAGCACCAGGTACATCAGTTTGTTGATATTAGTACATGATACACTATACACTAACAACATACTCACTAGATAGTGCACTAGTCATACATGCACCATACACTCACTATACACTCACTATATAGTACAGGCTATCATGACTACTTTTAGTTTACATATTGTGTTTATCGTGCATGTATAGTTTATCTTAGTTTGCATAAGCTACGTTTGTCAACTTGCACTGTGTCCAGTACATGTAAATTGATTCATTAGTCCCTGTACTGTAGTACAGGCCAGGGTGTCAGACCAAATTTCACTAGGAGAGAATTCTCCATTTTAATAATTTTTTCTGATACATATACATGTACTTATGTTGTGTAGCAGGTTTGAGCTGATTCCGATCTAGAATTATTTTTAAAATGAATTTTTAAAGTTACTCAAAAATTGAGCCAAAGTCCTTGTATTGTAGTACAGGGTCTTACCAGACCAAATTTCGCCAAAAATGACTAAGAGAGAATTCTCAATTTTTATAATTTTCCCTGAGACGTATGCATGTTTTTATGTTGTGTAGCAAGTTTAAGCTGATTCCGATCAAAATTGGATTTGCTATATACTGTATTTCCTCGAATAAGGGCCCTACTCAAATAAGTGCCTATCACTAAAATAAGTGCCTATCACTAATTTATTACCACTATAAAATAGATACGCATATTTGAGCCAGTATTATGTGCCCTTGTGATTAGAGTGGTCCAAATAGCCTAATTGTTCATCCTCAAAACAATTATAAATATATAAAAATATATTGTATATTTTTGACCTGGCGGTGCCTTTGATCTTACAGTAACTATAATACATGTATATAATAGTTTTAATGCTATTTGTCATTCTTAGGCTATAGATGGTTCAACAGCATTACACAGTGCATCAGTAGTTGGCTCGGTCTCTTTTATTCAGTTACTATTAATGAATGGAGCTAATCCTAATGCTATAGATAATGATAGTGGGCTACCATTACACTGGGCTACCATTACACTGGGCCATTGCATCACATTCTGTTGAAGCACTGGAACTATTACTGAAGGTAGGGATTACATGTATATGTTTGTGAATAAAATAATGAGAAAATTCAGATTAAATAAATGTACATGCATGTACATGTGCATGTACTTACATGTACATGTACATTTGTACATGTTGATTGTGATCAAAATTGGATTTTTAATGAATTTTAAAGCTGCTCCAAATGCCATGTACTGTATTGTAGTGCTTGTCAGCTCATGAAGCTTTTGCTGTTTAGCTCACTTAGCATGCATGCTTTGTGGGAACCCTACATTAAATTGGTGGAGTAGGATTAATTTTTCCTTTTTCAAGAATCATACACGTGTTTTGCTTGACATGCTCCAATCGTTTGTGCCATTATCAAATTGGTTCCTCTCCCTCTCTCTCTCTTTCTCTCTAACTAACTTGAGTCTATAACATGCATGTTAATCCATTGCCAGGGTCTATGTTAATATTTATGCTTTGCACGAGATTTCTGATAGCGCTGGCCCTCGTGACATTGTGTACACGGCCACATGTCACTGGAGGCTAGAGAAACTCCATCGCAGTATTGTAAGAATGACGCTGGGGTTTTGCTAAGTCAAGAAGGATTGATAAAACTAGGTAGTAACTGAAGGATTGTGCTAAGATGAATAGTGATCTGTCGTGGGATTCATGCCTAGGGAAATGTATCAACTATCAACCAGACCCTGGGTTTGTCTTGCTTTAAAATATTCTCAAAAGTAAGAGAGAAAGAGAGAAGGAAGTTTGTGGTTTGTTTGTTGCTGACATAGGCAGCTATAGGCCCAGGCAAGCCAGGGCTTTGCCCTGGTAGTTTTCAACCAAAACCACACCCAAAAGGTGTGTTTTGTTATTATTGGGAGTGATATCATCACTAGAATTCATTTTTATAGCCACAACTGTTTATACTTGCTATCAGCTCCACTTTTAGTGTGGTAACTGGCTCTTGTGAGCTACCATAATGACTTTCAGTCATTTTATTAATTGACCACACCCCTAATTCTTATGAATAACTAATGAGCCCTGGTTAATTCAAGATTCTGTAGCCGCCTATGGTTGCTGATTCCAATAGAGTCTACAATACATGTACATTTCCTGCCATGCTACTTCCTGTAGGTGGGTATAGCTCAAATGTGACATCACAAGAGTCTTTATAGGTGAAATTGATCCTTTACTCTTGTACCTAATATTGCAATAGCACTAACATAAAGAATGGGATCACTGATGATTACCTTTCCTTATTCTCAGTATGGCAATACAAGAAAAAACTCAATACCGCTTATACACACTGTACATGTACATGCACATGTAGGTGGATCCTTATGTTTGCTATTTTGAGTATTTAATTCATAGGTGTATTTGGACCCGGGCAAGCACAGGCTTTGCCCGGGTAGAAATTTGCAGCCATAATTATATTCATTAGTTATTGTATTATACACAGTATTGTAACAGTGAGAGGACTGTTAACCACAATAGTTAGCACTGTTAACCACAATAATTTAGCACACACCTACATGTTACAAGTGTTTATTCAAGCACCAGGGCAGTTATAGGTCTTAAATTTAAAATGCATTTGCCCAAATTGCCCCAATCAATAGTTAAAGGTATAATTAATTACTTAGATATATGAATAATTAATTAATTATATGAATAATTAATTAAGTGCCCTAGTAGCTGGAGAAGGCTAGATACGCCTATGATTTAATTATACATGGTAGTTATTCTTTATAAGGAAATTGTGTTGTTATTGTACATCAAACTTCCTTTAGTCATGATTCATGAATATATTTAAGATATCACACCACTTTTTGTACTTTGACTCTTCGTTCTCCTTCTTCATTTTGTTGTTCCTATTACTCTTTACTACCTTCATTTGCTCTTCAAAATGGCAACCAATTGGTCTTCATCTTCTGGTCTCCTCAAACTGGAGGAACAGCTCACCTGTCTTGTGTGCCATGACCACTATACCAACCCTAAGACTTTACCTTGTCTACATTCATTCTGTGAGCACTGTCTGGAGGGATTACCTCTGGATAAGAAGAATGAGACCTATTACCTCTCTTGTCCCACTTGTTGTCATTGTACGGAGTTACCAGAAGAAGGTTCAAGAGCCTTTCCTGTAGCATTCCACCTCATCAACCTTAAAGATATATACAGTGTAATCAAGAAAGTAGCTGATCCTCAACAGGTCACCTGTGACAACTGTACTACAGCTAATGCCACTGGATACTGTAAAGACTGCAGTAAGTTCTTTTGTACAGAATGTGATGAAGTACACAAAAAATGGGGCCCTACCTCTAGCCATCAGCTAACAAGTCTTGATGAGGTGACAGCCTTTGTTTCCTCTAATCCTCAATTGCTAAGTCCAGTTATACAGGAGGCAACCCTTACGTGCTCCACTCATAACAAGAAATTGAAGCTCTACTGTGAAACGTGTGATAGTGTTATATGTCGTGACTGTACAGTCCGTACTCATAAAAACCATGAATATGATTTAGTCTCAGCCAGTTATACAAAACACTGTCCAGAATTAGAAGGTTCTCTTAATCCGGTAAAAGGAAAAATTGAAACACTCAAGAAGGTCCTGTCTGCTCTAACAGAGAGAGAGGGTGAGATCAGAGAGAGAGGAGAAGGAGTTTTGGCAGAAATACATGAAATGGTTGAGGAAATGATAAATGTTCTTCATCAGTCAGAGAGGAAACTGACTGAGCAGGCCAAGAGGGTCATTGATGATAAACTAAAGGTGCTGTCAGAGCAAATGAAATCAGCAGAAATGAGTTTGAGTCTTCTGGAGGATGTGGAGGATTATGTGGAACAGAGTCTGAGGACAGGTAATCCTCAACAAGTCCTGAAGTCTAAGAAACAGATGATGGAGCGTATGAGTGAAGTTACTGCACAGATCAATGTGGAGGAGTTATTGCCAAAAGAAAAGGCTGACTTTATATTAAGCAAAAAAATGAAATTACCATTTCACATTGGAGATATTGTCTCACTACAGCAGTGTCAAGTGAAGCAGATTGATCGTATTACATCTACTGGCAAATCGTTTTCATTTTCAATATCAATAGAGGAACCAGATTCATCTCTTTTGTCTGTTCCCCTCTCTTCTCTCAGGTGTAGTCTAGTACCAGTTCGTAAAGGTAAACCCATTCACACTACAGTCACTACCGGCACTGATCCTGGAGTGTATAGAATACAGTGTAACCCTTCAGCCAGTTGTACTCATATAGTAAAAGTACAAGTACTTGATGTTCACCTTGATGATACCTCACTAGTCATCCCATTCAACCCTTATCTTGATAACATCATTCCAATATATTGTGTAGCTGAGTTGATAGGTCCATGGGGGATTGCTGTAAATGATGAGAGTCATAATATCATAATAACAGAGCATTGGAATAACTGTGTAACGATACTGGATAGAGAAGGAAAGAAAGTGAAATTATTAGGAGGGAAAGGAGGAAGTGGCAATGTCAAGTTTCCTTCACCTCGTGGTATAGCCATTACTCCAGACAAGTGCATTCTGGTGTGTGATAATCACAGGATACAGAAGATAAGCATGGATGGATACCTTATAACATCAGTTGGTGAGGAGGGTAATGGACCGTTACAATTTAATATTCCTGCTGGCATTGCTATTTCTCCTATAACGGGGCAGGTTTATGTTGCTGACAGGGCTAATCACCGTATACAAGTCTTGAATCCTGATCTAACTTTCTCTCATTCGTTTGGTAGTGAAGGATCAGCTAATGGACAGCTTAGTTATCCACGTCACATTGCTATTGACAGTCAAGGATTAGTGTATGTTGCCGATTCTGGTAATCATCGTATTCAGAAGTTTTCTCTTGATGGACAGTTTGTGGCTCAGTTTGGTATTAAAGGTTCTGGTCCTGGTCAGCTTAATGGCCCTTTTGGTATTACAATAGACACTGGAGCTACCGGCCTAGTATATGTTAGTGAATGGAACAATAGTCGTATCTCAGTCTTCACTAGTGATGGTCTGTTTATTAATAGTTTTGGAAAGAATGACAGTACCTATCAGTTTTATCATCCTTATGGATTAGCATTTGATAAAGCTGGATTTTTGTATGTTTGTGATGATTATAATAGCCGACTTGTTGTTTATTGAATATGCTAAACTTTTTTTAAAAGAATTTTATTTCACATTTTGCCTGCATATTGTGTCTGCAATAGTGACCTAAGAGAGTCAGGATTTAGTAATGCTGGCTTAATTGTCACACTAAGACATTTAATGGTTCATTCAAGTCTTATACATTTTCATACACTAAAACTGAAACTAAGTTTTAAATTCCTTAGTACTTATAACAATAACTAAGCTATACATGTACTTGTAACACTACTAGCAGTTAACTATAGCTGAAATAAACCATCATTTTGAGGCGTGTATCAGTAATGTATAAGACCTTCGCTCCTTGATGTCTGCCTTCAGCTTTGCCTTGGGCAGACATCTTGGGGCTCAGGTCTTACATTACTGATACTCCAAGAAATTATTGTACATATACATGTACTGTATGTAACATGTTATACTGTCACTACATGCATGTACTTGTAATTTTTGTTTATTCCTCTTTCTCTCTATTACAGGAGTCTCAGTATAGTGTTGATGTCACTGATGGTTCTGATATGACTCCATTGATGTGATCCTGTTATAATAGAAGTGAATTAATAGCTAAAAGACTAATAGAACTGGGAGCTAATGTACATGAGAAAGACACTGAGGGAAGGACGGCAGCTCACTGGTACTATATCTGATATACTTTTTGTATTTTATGTTTATATTTCGAGGGCTGCTAAAAGGAGTGATATTAACATGTTGAAGTTGATCCTAAAACCTGACATGACTTATTTCAAGGATGTTAAAGTGTGTGAACTACATGTACATGTACATGTAAACATACATGTATTAACTTTGAAATTTTATGTACTGTACATACAGTATTAATGTACACATATCATGTACATGTACATGTACATGTACGTGTATTTTGTCTTTTTTCTCTGTTTCTCTACTTTAATTCTTTTCTTATATCTGTTCTCTCTCACACACCTCTTCCCTCCCTCCCTCTCCCTCCCTCTCAGGGTTGTACTGTAATGCATGTATGAGCTCATGAAGGTTTTCAAGCTGGTATAGAACACATAATGAGCCTGAGACCTGAGAGTGTCCATGACACAGACAAACTGGTAACTTACTAAACATGTACATTGTACATGTACATGTACCATTATTATTAATAATGTGGTAGCATTACTAAGTAGGATTCACCCCATTTCAAAATGGCTGCCTTGCTTTTTACATGTATTTTCTTCTTTTTGTCCTCTCTCTCTCTTCCATTCATTACCCCATTCATGTACATGTACTCCTTTTCTTCTCTCTTGCTCTCTCCTCAGGGTAGGACTCCATTACATTATGCTGCAGCAATGGATCGTGTTCATGTTTGTTACCATTTGCTCAATAAAGGAGCTGATGCTAGTCAAAAAGACAGTGACAATAAGACTCCATTGGATTATACATTGATTAAACAACACGAGTTTGTTGTGGCTCTCTTCACTTGTCATGATGCATCAGTTGGGGACTTCATTAAAATGCAGAGGTAATTGTACATGTAATTGTACATGTACATGTAGTTTTACATGCTGTAATGACAATGGACTACTACGTGTACATGTAATGTACACATTTACATTTTTACATGCGTCAATTTAAATCGAAAACAATATACATGTACATGTACATTTACACATACAACATATACATGTACATGTATGTACACATGTACATGTACATGTATACATGTACATA